GGCGACGTGAAAACCACGTTGATGATATGTTACAGAAAGGCCACTGCCATTTAGGATAACAGGGGGGCAAATTAGGAGTAGCGGATTTCTAGAGCGGCAGGAATATCTGGCAACATATCGCAAATAGATATCTAAAATTATTGTTAGCAAATGATTAAAAGACAATATCTAAATCGTTGAACCAGGGATATTTTTTAAACGGGAGAGAGTATGACTGATACTTGAGAAGGACTGTCTTGCTTGTTTCTTAGACTCTGCTTATACCGCGCTGGAACACGAATAGCCACAGCTCCTCCAAAGAATAAGAAACTAGCTTATAAGAACAGGTTTTCTCACAGTTTTCTCCACTCAATGGAGAGTAAGCTACCAACCCCGAATGTACATAAGACGATTCCTGGCAAGGATAATGCAGATAACAGCTTGGAGAATGGATTCAAAAGATGCCGATTGACCTGAAGATCAGTAAAAGAAGGACGAGTAGAAAGATAAGCCAGTCGTCCCGGAGATCAGCCATCAGTTGTCCAAAAGACAGGCTTGACAAAAGGAGCTCCATGGAGCGGGAATAAATTATGATAGCTAGCTACGTGTAAGAAATATCAAAGTAAAGACGTACGTGGGATCAATAACATAAAATCAGCCATGAACCGCGGGCGGGAAACTTTTTGATGGGCGATGATGAAAAACAATAGCAATAATCTTATAGAGCTTTTAGGATGAAAATATCGTCATACACCTTCCGATAAAGTTTATAGACCGTACCGAACGCGAAAGTATAAATGCATTCGTATAAAGCAAGGTGCCAGGGTTTTGGTAAAGATGAGAAGAGAATCATTAATGAGTATTGCAGTTGTAATTATATGGTATTTTTTCTTATCTAGATTGGTGTAAGTAGATGGTAACACAATATTTTCAAGATTATGTTCACACAGTTGATACTATTCTTATTGACTACAAGCCAACTTGGAAGTGTTGTAGTTGCTATATTCATTGTCACTGAGCAGTTAGTTATGGAATTACCTAGTTGATATTGCTCCTGATGTATAAATTGAACCTTGTTTGATATTAGAACATGATAGAATAGTGAAAATTATAACTACACTGTAGAGCTCTGATTATCTGCTAGTATCTCTCCATTTCTATTTCTTACTTAAAAGAAATAAAATCTCAAGTGATTACAAAAGAATAACTTCTGGATAAGAAATCTCACCTATCAAAATAAATGCTAACTTTTGGCAGTGAATTCAGCGGAGATTTTAACCTGCTTAACTCTGATGTTCCCACATGATGACTGCTGCTGATACAACTAGACTGGTTGCTGGGACCATGAATTACACATTTGATTTGATTTGATTTGATCCCAGTCCATTTCTTGATGTGATTTTAAATGAGATCAGAATCAGAATGAAAGTGTAAAGTGATTAAAATTATTAAAACATGAGTGAAATGAAACTAATAAATCTTAATATTTCATGTAAAATGACTGACTATGAAAAATAAGAACATGATCTGAGATTGATCATGATTTGAATTGAAATTTAATCACATTCTGATGATTATATAATACATCAATCTGATGATATAATTGATGAAGATATTATCACTATCAATTTATTTATCTATCACTGTCAATCTGCTTACCGCAGTGAATCTATTGCTGCCAATCTATCTATTATTACTAGTTCAAAATAGAACTATAGCATAAATACACTAAACTTTTTTTTATAGATAACAATTTTTGATAACGCTCATAGCATTATATAAGATAAATCATATCTCATTTGATTTCATTTTATAAAATAAAATTAAATGAAATCAGATTCAGTATAAAAGGTGTACTTTTAAACTGACTATGTGATCATATATAGAACTGAGATTAAATTTTTCTTCAATTTCATTATCAAATACCTTAGTTCTGATTCTATATAATGTTTATCAAATTAATCACTTTACACTGTTTATGTTATAAATTTAATTTCAGATCATGTTTTTCTTATAAATTACTCCATATAACGATGTGACGGTTGGCCGGAGGCTGCAAATGGCATGGCTGTTTTCGCCGCTGCTTTCGGCCTCCCGCTAACCGCCCAACCTCGATCATCACGTGAATCTATCCCCACGGCCGCGACCCTTCCCTCCACGCGTGGCCACGATTTTAGAAGTGCGTTTTCGTGGCTTCCAGTCACCCTCGCTCACCCTCGCTCACCCACTGCCCTTCCTTTGGGAGGGGAGGGGAGCCGTTTTTGACCCTTCACTCTGTCGGATTTGGCTCCCTCCCCAGATCATGGATCGTGTTGTTCTCTCTGCCTCCAGTCCCCGTCACTCTCACCATGCCGCCTGCGGCTCCCATCCCTCCCCTCCTTCGCAGCACTACCGGGCCAGTTCTATCCAGGAAAACGTCTAAGTCTTTCATTACTTGTTCCTGTCCCTCTCTCCTGTCGGCTCTCTCCTTGGGCCGTCTTGATCATGGCGCCTCTCTCTTGTTTGGCCGGGCCTGACAAGCAGAGCAGGAGCAAGACGGATGTCAGGTCTGCTCTGGATAC